GATCCCCTCACGTTAGCCTACTCTCAAGCTAGCATAGTCCCAACGTTACTAAACGCTTCTCGTATGAAAGTTCCTTCAAGTCTTTTATCATTGTTGTAGTCCGCCTCTGAACTCTCGAGTGTCGTTTGACCATTTTTATTTGCAAGTCTCCAGAATTAAAGGTGATAATCTGAGTAAGGTCCGACCTTTGTTACATACGTACAACAGAAAAATAATAAGCTCTCATTGGCAAAGGAATGCCGGATGAAGCCTAGGATCCTGTTACATTTGGCTTCTGTCGCATGCATGTGCGATGGGAATTTGTTTCTTATCAATCGCGATCCCAACGTCTCTCCGTTAACCTCCTCCAGTTTATCCCCGCCGAACGCATTCCAAGACCTATCGTTACCAGGACCGATGTGGTGAATCTTACATTTACTCAACTCCGTGAACCATATTTTTACTCCACTCGTCCAAAAGCTGTAAGCTATTTTGGCTCTCGCCCTGTCTTCCTCCCCCTGATGGGGAAACTCATTTTCGTATCATCGGCAAATTTACTGTTTTTACTCTTAAGACCTTCATCGAAACCTTTTATTTTAATCATGAATAGTATCGTGACCAGGGGATTGTCATATGGCAGTTTGAATTCTCAGCGCAGCCGAGCACGCCGATGCATTATATATGCGCAATCAAAAGATGCATTTTACAAAACCAGACGTCTTGCCCTTTCTTTCCGAGCTCTTGCAACGGGAGGTTCTTATCTGGCTCTCCACAGCACTCTATATCCGTATCCTTTCGAATAAACTAATGCACCCGGGCTCTATTGTATGTAGTGGCTTTTAAACAACTCTGCATCGCTTTGAAGCTTTGAATAGCTTCAATACCCAATGGGCCTTTCTTACATTTCTTTCATTATGGTTTGAGAAGAATGTGGAGAAGTAATGCCCGTATATGTCTTGAGGGTTACAGTACTTGGTAAACTCGGAAGAAGGGAGTTTCTTACCAATATTTTCGGTCATATGTCACTTTGAATATCCATTGCCAGTATTATAGAAAAACAATTGAACGATTTCTCAGGACCTGATTTACCCCTGGCTGGCCTCGGTGCCACTCTCTAGTCCAGGGGTGTCAAACATACGGCCCGCAGGCCGGATCCGGCCCGCCGTCTGCTTTTGAAATTTTCCTCATGGATTGAGTGTCAGCACAAATTTCAGTGAAATTTTATGGGTGCGGCCCGCAGGCATCTGCAGGGTAAGGAATGCGGCCCACCGACCGATTTGAGTTTGACACCCCTGCTCTAGTCTACCTGGCTAGTCACACACGCCTCTAATATTTATCATTTACCATCCTATCCGCTTCACTTCACTTTACAATCAATCTCCCCAGCTCATACGTAATTTGCTTTCTCATATTACCGGATTGCCGAACAAAATATGAAATACACGGGGAAACGTGGATGGTGTCGCACTGACACATGCAGTCACTTTCTTTCGGTATAAATGGTTCACCTTTGCAAAGGGAGAAAATTCTGTTGCCGAACGAGCATAGGTGCGCTCCGAAACTAGCTGCTCTCCCCCCCCCCCTGCTTATGGAAATACCTTCTCTACTCCTCTCGTCATCCTTACTCCACGTACCTTGCTCGTGACCGAATCCGCGGGGGGCGGGGGCTCCGCTCTCGACTCCTACTTTCGCCGAGTCTTCTCTATTTACAATTATTCTCTGCTCTCTTCCCGACAGCGAGTTAATTTATCCAGTTACTCAGCTTACTGCGAACCCAGTGAGCCTCCTATTTGGCCCGCAATCTATTGTGAGGAACGGTATCGAAAGCTTTCGCAAAGTCCAAGTAATTGGTGTAATGGGATTCCTTCCGTCCATCTCGTCTGTCACCCAATCGTAGAATTCGAGCAAAAATCGGTAAGGTAATTTCGCAGCCTTCTCCTGCTGTGCTGAGTTTTCCAGATGAGCGAGTTCACCGTGAGGAATTCCATTACGTCATCTTTCAAAATGCTCTCCATGTTCTTTCCACGTACGCTCGTGAAATACGAATGTAATTTCTCGAATTTCTCTTACCTCCCTTTTTCAAGATTGGTTCGAAGTTCATTAATATCCAATCCCTCTGCACTTCACTGCGCAAAATGCTATTCTGGAATATGATTCTCAACGATGGTGATACTTGTTGAACGAGTTCTTTGATCACACGAGAGGGAATCCCTTCAGGGCCGATTGCCTTTCCTGCCTTCCATGTTTCCCTTTCCTCTTGGATTATCCTCCTGTTCTCTCCTTCGATGATGATGATATCGATGCGCGCCGAGGTGACCTACGTCATTGTCGGGATGTCACCGAATTCGTTCATGAACACAGGAGGAAAGAAATGATTTTAGAATCCAGACCATGCCTCCGCTATTCACTCTCCCCCTGTCGTCTTTCAGGGGCCCGATCTAATGTTAACTCTACCGCTGGGATACCAACAAAAGGTCATGGGATCATTCTTTGCATATGAAGGTAGTTGCTTCAATGGCCTCGTGACTTCCCAATATAGCTTGTATTCCGCTTCATCACCTGTGCGCATATACGAATCCCATTTATCCTTCTTGCATCCGAGCAACAACTTATTATTTAATTTTACCTGTAAACCAAAATCAGATCCGCCGTTTGAGCGCTCTCTTCTAATTCTTACGTATCCAAACCCCCGTGAAACATTCCAAAGACGTCTTGAAAATCTCCCTCTGCTCCTATACCGTTCGCCCTCGCAACCTTCCTTCCCAGTCGAAACTGGAAACGAATCCCCGTACTTTACTGAAATCCGCTTTGGTAGTCATGCGAATCGTTTGTCGACTATCGCTCCGTTTTTATCTCCCATTGATACATTGATACAGAATATAAAGTGTTTTCTTAATTTCAACATCTGTCTCTGCTCCAACTCAAATGGCAGCCAGGTACTGTTGTAGCAGTTTTCCAAATGGGGATGGCCATTTCCATCCAGATAAAGCAAAAAATATGTGATATCATACCATATAATTTTATATATTCTGCAAATGAGTTGTTTCATGTGTACCTAAAAGCTTACTCAAATCAAGGTACTGCAGCCTGATTTACAGCACGTTGAAGTCAATAGCTTGGTTTTTTTTTTAGCCACCCTGTATATTTGGAATACACTGTTAGGTTCCTGATGAAATACTGCATTCTCTGCCCGAATTTCATGAACATTTGCAAATTTCCAGATCTGACTTCTCACAGGTAACCTACCAAACATCCTCCAGTTGAATCAGTGATCGTTAAAATCTCCAAAGAGCAAAACCTACGACTTCTTGCCAATACTCTTCTAAGCATTAAAAGCAAAGTCATCGTCTCGGAGCTAATTTGGTGGACTGTTGCAAATTATTGAGAAGATCCTTCCTGCCGCCCCACCGGTTTTACATGATCAATTGATTCACAATTAATGGAAATGAGATCCTCCCTAATGCAAAAACCTAACCCGTTCCTCTCATATAAACATGACTCTCTATACCTTTCTTCGAGGCCTATTCTTACCCAGAGTCAAATCCCTTTCTGTGAGATTTTTTATGCCAGAGCTCCCCCAATTCGGGTAAACCGATAGATCGGGTAAAACTTTACTAAACTCGGGAACTGGTTATGTAACGGGCACGGGGTGCAGTGGGTCGGATTTATGAAAATATCAACTATTAATTAAGTTAAAATAAAAACTTTACCTTAACGTGCCCCGATTCCACTACAATGAATTCCCTTCCAGGAAATTAACTCCGTGCCAATTCAAATTCGAGTGGGAGTAACTAAGGCGTAATTCAAGAAAACAAAAAAAAATGTATTTCCAAAAATAAAAAACTAATAAAAAAAAGGACAAAAAAAAGGCAAAAGAAATGTTAGCCAAACAACCGGTCCAACCCCTTTACAGTACTTTCAATGACAAAGGGCTGATCTTCACTTCCAGATAAAACTTTGCAAGTTCTGGGAAAAACTCACGACCATCGAAGCGAAAAGATCTTCTAACTATAACGTTGTTCCTCTGTATGTTTTTTTAGAGAGAAAGGCGGCCAGTTTCAAAACACCCACAATCTAAAAGGGCCTGAGTACCCCGGTCAAATTGGTACTAACTCAAGTTCTTCGAGTTCGAGCTCTTCAGTCACCTCGGAGTGAGGGATCAAGGGAGGAATCTTCAGCTGAAATCTTGCTGGATTGGATAGGTTTTGGCGATTAGACTTGATTGGAGGGACTTTGATACCCATTCGCATAATGATGTTGTGGCTCCTTGTACAGTGTTTGGGTAGCACATTTGAGAAGGAAAGATCCTGCATTTAAACTGTATGGAGCCCTTCCACGGGTTGGTTGACCCCAAACACTGGGTTCACCTCCCTCCACGTGTTGATGGATGTTTTAGTTCACCTCCTTCAGCTTCCTCCCCGCCTTGACTCTATTGACACGCTGGACGTTGCGCAGTCATAGGAGTAGACTGGCATACGTTACAGGTTAGCCAGGCTCTCTCCCTCCAGGGGCTCTAATTCGGACCCATCGTTATTGATAGCATAGCAAAGCCACCAGAAACCTTTAGTTTCCAACTCGAATGGAAGATGACTCTCACTAGCCTTCGATATCCCCGCGTTTATGGAATAGCGAAGCCTCGGAAACCAAAATTTTTTATTGCCAGGAAGAGAGGTCTTTCTATGCGTTTTCCCTATCGGAAACAGGGGAAATGAAGAGCATGACAGTTGCTTTTTCCTGTCGGGAATATAACTGAACTAAAACGATTCATGCCGTGTTTTACCTATATCATCTGAATTCCTGTCTGCCAGCAGCCTGCACCATCTCGGACAACGAAAAGTATATTAAGAAATGTAGGACTTGCTCCTCTTCTCCTCATACACTCTCTTTGAGAAGAGAGAGGGGAGAGATTGTGTTGCGATGTCTTCTGAAAGCGGATGGATTAATGAGAACAGGTGGCAAAATGATGATGAAATTTTTGTTATGAAGCAGTATTTCGAATGTAAAGGACCCCATTTTGGGTAATGAACGTAATTAAAGTAATCCTGAATGAAACGGAAAATTACTTCCTTGAATGGATACCAAATTCTGACAATGAATTAGAAGTTTCCGAACAATGAAAGGAAAGGTGAAATACGTGCTTTAATCTTAGGGATCGATTCCGGCGAAACAGCATGTTTACTTGAAAAATTATGAATCGTGGTTTCCGCTCCGAATCAGAATCCCGTATTCCGCTATTTAAAAGAAAACTCTGCTTCCTTTCTCTTCGGAATTTCTCGAAAACATTTTTTAGTGTTGTAAAGAAGGGCTTTACCTAGCCTCAGATGAAAAAAATCAAAAGGTATCAAAAACCGGAGGTCGTGGAGGCCATTTGCCGCAGCGGACAAGTCCGAATGCAACGTTCCATGTGTTTCGACTTGTAATGGAAACTTGAATTGAAAAGTGAAAAGCGACAAAAGAGAGTAGGAACAAAAGATGACACCATTATGAGGTCTAATGATGAGCAGCATAAAACAATCAAATAGTTGATTCCCCCAGAATCACTATGAAAAAAGTTGCCCATAGGTTGTCACTCCATGGACGCCTTGTAGTTATGGCTATAACTGCAGTTCTGGTGTTCTTCTCTGAAAACAGGGATTGTGTTCAGATGCGGACAACTCAGCAGCATCAAACATGGATCCTTTACTATTCATTCTTGTGCAAGCTCATCGGAAGACGCTGGTGAAAGAAAAACTGCACAATGCTTTCAAGATGGTAAATATGCAATTAGAAGCCTTATTAAATACAGATGCGATAAATATTATGAACTGAAGGGACCGGAAATTCGAATATGCAAGGAGGATGGAGAATGGACAGGACACATACCATTTTGTGAACCAGGTCAGAATCTTTTTCTTTCATTTTTCTCATTCGCCTAATACACCTCTCCTCTTTCCAAATGTTTATATTTATACCGTCCTATCTCCAGTATGCGGGAGAAGGGAACATCAAATTACGCTATCAGCTGGAGGAATGCGTTCTGATATCGGAGAATGGCCATGGCAAGCGGCCATTTATGACATCAAGAAGGGAGATATTATTTGTGGAGGGGCTCTCATTAGGGAACAATGGGTATTGACAGCAGCCCATTGTGTCGTTGTAGATGGTTCCCAAAGAGCTCGAGACGCAAAAGACATTTTCGTTTACCTTGGGAAGCACAACCGAGGATATACCCGGGAAGATGAACACGTGCAGATCAGACCAGTTGAGTGAACAAGATATTCTGGTACTTTCATCCATTCTATCCTGATGATGCAAACAGCCGCAATCTCTTTACAGGTTTCTCACATAGTCTTGCACAAGGACTTCAACATACATAACAACTACGACTCGGACATTGCTCTATTGAAATTAGTTGAACCTTCAGTTCTGACTGCGCGAGTCCAGTTGGTATGTCTCCCGAACCGATTTGACTTCTCTGAGGCCAACCTCGAGAACGGAGTGATAGGATGGGTAAGACACGAAATATCATCATACCGCTATCAAAATTTTTTCCTCGTACCTTCATCGTTCCCGCTGCATGCTTTCTTCATTGATTGCTCAACGCAGGTGGCAGGTTGGGGTAGTGACGGTTCAGATATCCTCGCAGCTGTCCTGACGGATGTTCAACTCCCGGTGATAACCAATCACAAATGTGTTCGGGACACCATTTATTTCACGGGGGACCGCGGCGTTACTCGTACCCTCACTTCAAACATGTTCTGCGCTGGTGTTGCAGCAGATACTCCTCTTGAAGGTATGGTTTCATGAACTTTGACAGCCTCAAGTTTCTAACTTTTCTTGAACGTGTCCTCCAGGCATCGATCGGGTCCAGTTAGGGGTTCACGCCAAAATGGCATCAAAATTCATTTAATGTCCTACTCACGCGTTAGGATTATTTTCTAAGTTTGACAGAAGTACAAATATTACAGGTAAAATTTGAAACCGAAGGTGGACTCCTGAAGATGAAGGCAGGGAAAAAAAGGGTGGGGAATCTCTCCCATTGGTGGTCGATGGAGGCTATTCTTCCGAGATTTTACACCTTAAGTCGCAAGTATTCTGATACGCTACGAGTAGACCGCGAATTTCTCGTTCGGTATCACTTAAGGGATGAGAAAAGAGCCCTCTACCTAATTAAAAATCTGTACAATAACCTGTGGCAATTTTTAGAATTGAGACGTTTACAAATCAACAAGTTACAGTGGCTTGCTGCTGAGTACATGTTATCTCATTTCCTGTTTCTAGACGATATTGAATAAACCCCACTAGTGGTGTGAATTACGTGGAAGTGTTTGGAGTTGTTGTTTTATGTCTCCTTAGACATTTGCCTCTGATCTCAACGTCATACTTGCAAGATATTGCTGCATCCATCATGTCCCCCATTGTGTGTATCTCTTCGGATTGGCCTTGCCATGAAGTCATAAGAAAATTGATGATGATGTTACCAGCAGATATTGAATATTCCGATTTTGAGTAGTTAGCTGTTGAATTTCCATTGATACTCCCCTATTAATTATCTTCCATAAATAATACAGGGAAGAGCAATGATTATGATGTTTCTTACTGTTCAGATTATCGAACAGTATGTCCTGGAGACTCTGGGAGTCCTATGGTCTTCCTCTCCAATACATCACTAGACAGCCATTGGACAGTGGAAGGGATCGTGAGTCACTTTTTCCAGAAAGGTGCTTGTTCTATGAGGCGTCCTGGACAGTATGGCATTTTCACCAAAGTTAATAGGTGAGTCCAGGTTAATTCCACTCAATTATCTCATCCGCATTGCTTTCCTCCTTTCTCATCAAGCATTATGTTTCCCTCCTACTTCTCCTTCAGGTTCATCCAATGGATCAATGATATGTTATATACGGTCTTTTGAGGAATGGGAATTGTCAGAAATATATATTAAGTCTTGGAAAACCGAAGTGATATATTGCAATATTTAAGAACCTCCTTCAATTTTACCACGATACTCAAGCATACATTAGCACAAGGTTACACCGCACCTTCATACACACCGATGGACAAAACTGTCCATATTTTCAGCGACTTGCTACCCATTATCAAGGTATTGGATGAAAGGTAATAACAGTGAACCTTGTATTATTTTGTAATATCCTATCTACAAGTGTTTAGGGAACATTTGTCTAAAAGCAATTTCTCTGCAAACACTTGTTTACAAGTGTTTAGAGAAAATTTTTACATTAGGCGGTTATAAAGAAATCCGATCCGAAAGCAAACGTTTGCATGTGGACAGTTTTATCCCTAGGGGCGAAACGTGAACAATATTGACTCATTTAAGAAATTCAATACTCTTTCCGCATCCCATTGTATTTCATCGCAGTCTCAGGTCGCTCACCAAGCTTTTGAATAATCTTCGATATGTTTTTTCGTCGATCTTACTCCATGATGTTTGGACCCGCTCCAACACCTCCAGTGAACCTTTAGGTGGGTCCTCGCGCTGGCTTAGGCTCTGCTTAAGATGTGTCCAGATATGCTCGATGCACTACAAGAAATTTTCGGAATTTTCTTATTCTTCGTCGTAAAAATTTTCGTTTAAGAACTAATAAACTTGCTTTCCCTCAATTGTCTGAACATTTTCTTGCATTTCCTTTCAAATCTCACTTCATGTTCCTGGAATTTTCTCATTTTCCCTCTGAAACATTACATCTTAGTGTCTTAGGTTCCAAGATCAACAACAAAGAACAATTCTTCTCCTCATTATACCACGGAATATTCCGTATTGACACCTTCGGGAAGCGACCCAGCAGTTTTAGTCTGACCCAAATTGAAGTGAACTCTTACCCCCGAAATATCCCCTAACCGTTTAAGATATCATGATGCAACTGGAAACGGAGTTTTAATTCTCAGGAAGAAAGTTTATTTCTGTGAATTTTTCAACCAGAAACTATGGCAATGGAAAACATGATCGTTTCTTCACACTGTTCCAAAAAGAACTTCTCTGAAACGATACACGCCAGACTTCACGGAGGTCATGGACATGTCCCATGTGCCAGCATCCCACACCATGAAATGCATAATACGATTCACAATCGAACTCGGTTATAACGTCATTGAAGTGACAACGGAAGAACCGTCCCAATGACTGATGTTGCAATTATTGACATCCCGCTTCCTTGTTTTCATAGATATATAGATACTATTATATATACAACTTCAGTGCACATCGGCCGTCCTGCACTGGCTTCACTTTAAGCATTGATCCACTAATAGTGGAGTTCGCTCTTCTTTGGACCTTGGCAAGGATCTCTTGACGTCATCTCGAGCAGATCGAAGTTTCTTATTTCATGGCATGTTCATCTCATTAGTACGGATGAAGCTGTCACGATTTTTCAAATAGTGGAAATTGATGAAGTAGAAAATCCATGTTCCCGAGAGACGTCAGCTTTACTTCGCCCACTTCCCGCTTTCTATTAAACGAATTATGGATACATTCTTGTTAATTGCGAAGGCCTACCTCTTTAGTTTTTCATCGGCTGTTATCAACGAGAAATGCAAATGGCGACTGAGGAGAATATGATCTTTTTATCTACTGGGGATTATTCCTCCCTCACCCTCTTCCAGTCTGGACTCGGTCATACAATTATATATGGACTTCCTTATAACCGAGGTAAAATTTCATGTACCTTATGGGCTCCACACGGGACCTGGCGCTCTTCGTCCTCATGACCGAGCTCGTTATAACCGAGTTCTACTGTATTTCCAGTCGTTAATCCGTCCCTACCACTTGCTCTTTGAGAAAGTAGAGAAGGGGTGAGAGGAAGTTGACACTGGGAGAGAATGACTTGCAGTCATGACGGCTACCGATCGATACGGGGAATAGCATAGTTCCAACGCGTCTCACAAGAATAACGAAGACAAGCGCGAAGGTGCTAGGGGGGGACTTTCCCATAGGCATCAGATAAATATCAGGGATTCCCACTTTTCCCCCTCTTTTTCCCCTCTCCAGAGCTGTCAGGAGACTGTTTCTTTTCTTTATTCAACACCAGCTGTTGATTCACTGGTAAATTTCTGCCCCTCACCGGTGAGTCAACGTTGACTCAAAAGTGAATAAGCAGCGAGTTGTTATGGATTTGTGAGAGAAACCCGAGCGTGTTGAGAATGCCAAAGAAGCCACGACGGAGGCCTGAAGAGCTACTGTGGGAGATGCGATGAGGACGATCAAGTGACGAAGGGTTGGGTGCACGAGGGAGTAAAAGAAAATGCTCTTCGGCTGAGTGTCCTTGGGTGGAGTACTTTTTCACGGAATGTTCTTCTGGAAAATCCGGTCGTACTTATCAGGCAGGCGTGATCATGGTTTTATCTATCCCTCTTCCTGCAGTCGGCTCTGTTATCTCGCCGAGGACACAACAAAGAGTCTTCGTCAGAGTGAGTACGTTTATTCTCTCCTTTGTCAGGGTGATTTCAGTGAAAACCCGAATGAGACGAACGAGAAGGGTGGTCGCTACATAGGCCATTAAAAAGAGTCGTTTTCGTCACGCAATTGCTTCATTGCTTACATTTGTGTCCCATAAATGAGATAAACGCGGCCCAACGATCCCCGACATTCAATATCCTCGCACAACCTCAATTCTTCTGAATCCAGAGGCCACAGCCGCTCACGTTTCATCTTCGGCTCGTTCCTCGCGAGTGAAGCCAGATGGAACCCGCAGGAGCATTCGGGCGTCACCCGAAAACTCGACTATTCCGAGCCGGTGACGACGCACGCGGCAAATTTTGCAGGTTCGAGTCCCAGTCGCCTCCGTCTATCTCCAATCGCGAAGAATCCCCCTTTTTTTTCGGAGGAGCTATCTTCGCTCAGAAAATCTAGGCGAGGCCATGACATCGGAAGGCATCCCGAAAAACTAGCACCGAAAGGGACCAAAACGTATCCCTGGGAAGAGGGTCTCTCGTTCGAGAGATTCACTTCAATTCGATGCGGAGGAACCGGCAAATTAAAGATTATTTTTTGTCAGAATCACGGGAAAGGATGAGTCGATTCACGTTCCCTCATGCATCACGGCTTCCGTTGTCAATTTCTCCGCATCGATACAATTTCATTCGTCTCGATCCTGCCATTTCGGATGCCGAAGGGAAAGGGTTTCGAAAACGGAGACACCAATATGAAGCAAAACCTAATAAATCAGGTTCCTTGACCATAAAAAATTCTGCTCTCATGGCGCGTGTGCTACAAACTGTCGCGAAGCATTTAACCACTGAGATTACTCCTAAAGAGTATCACTCTAAGTGCCTATTCCTCAAGTAGAGGAACGTAATGGATATTTTGCGCTCATCTCGCAGTGGAAACGTACCTAGCAGGGCGTTCAGACTAGCTACTCGTAACACAAACTCCAAGAAACAAAAAACATGAATTTTGTTACCATCGAACGGCCGTAAAGCGACACGGGAACGACGAGGTTGCAAGTCTCTCTCATTCGCGAGACGTTTCTTTTCATTTCCAGAAACAGGAGTTCGTGAGGTCGAAAGAACACAAGCTGTCTTTAATGGACGCGCTGTCTAAAGTGGGAGGCTTCATCAGAGGCATCCCGTCTAGTATAGCGTCCCTCTTCGCCTTCTACCCGCCTCCGCCGTCCTACGAGATCCGGCATCACCCCACCGACGAGAGCGTCGCGGAGATCGCATTCGGAGAGGAAGTGGGATCGGTGCGGGAGGAGGAGATGGCGCGCATGGAGGCGAGACTCGCCAAGACCGAGAGGGGGACGAGCATCGTCACCCTTTTCGTCCGCAGCTCGAAAGACCCCAAGCAAACGATCATGTTCTCTCACGGCAACGCAGAAGACCTCGGTCTCAAAATCGATTTCTTACTCGAACTCAGCGACGAGACGAACTCGAACGTCTTCAGCTACGACTACTCCGGATACGGGCGGAGCACCGGAAAACCGTCGGAAGAAAACCTGTACGCAGACATCAAAGCGGCCTGGGACGTCCTTCGGAGCAGACACGGGATCCCCGAAGAAAATATCGTGTTGTACGGTCGAAGCCTCGGGTCCGTCCCGACCGTTCGCCTCGCCTCCGAACGCGAGAACCTCCCAGGCGTCATCCTCCATTCGCCTCTGTCGTCTGCGCTGGGGATGGTCTTGCGATTCACGCCCTGGTCCGTCGGTCCCTTCGCCGTCACCGACTTAGTACCCAGGATCACATGTCCCGTTCTCGTCGTCCACGGGACCCAAGACGAAGTCATTCCGAATTCCCACGGGAGATTCATACACGAGAGATGCCAGCAGAAAGTGGAGCCCCTCTGGGTGGAAGGCGCTGGGCACAACAACGTGGAGGCATACCCGCAGTTCTGGAGGAGGCTGAAACGCTTCTTGGAGCAGGAACTCAGGGTCGGAAGGAAGGAAACGTCCCCGAAGTTTCCTCACGACGGGAAAGGCTCCACTTCGTGGCACAAAATATGAAACCTTGCCGGTCGGGTTCTTGCGAATGAATGAGAAGTCGATGGCATGGCGTCGATCGAGCGACGTCTGAGCCGAGCAAATATTGTACTATCGTGATTTTCGAAAAAAAACAAACATTAAACATGGATATGAGGCATATATTCCACCGTTTGGATTCGGATGCTTTTCGAAGAGAGGCGTGTTTCTCGCCTTCATTTTCTGAAAGGAATGCAAGACACCGTGTCTGAAGTTTTATTGCTTAAATTTCGACGTTCCTCTTTAGGAACTCCTTTAATACCTTCCATCGGGTGTGGGTCCACCCGTGGGGAATCGGGATGATTCCTTTTCCACACTTATTTTTCCCCTTGATTTTACGATGCTGCCAGGTATGGCCTCGATACGCAACACGTACACTATTGATTCGAGTGCGCGTGTAATACGTCGGGCCGACGGTAACCGTGTTCCCGACCCCAAGTACGGTCTCGCTTTATGAGGTTCGAAAGTGATCAGGGATCGAGAAAGATCATCGCAGAATACCCTCTGTCGATATACAGTAAATTTTCCAACCTCATTAAATCCGTTAATCCGAATCCATGAACTAAACTTCGCATATTGCCTTCCTTCCAAAGGCTCATCCAGAGATAATTTACTTCGGGTAGAGAGGGAAGGGTGTATGTGTGTGGGGAGGGGGCGGGGGGGGGGGGGGGGGAGGGGGGGAAGGGGAAGGAGGAAAGGAGTGGGTTTGATGCGTTTTAAATGCTTTTTGAGGATGAGGTTGGAAACTAACCGCACTGAGTCGAGTCGGAACCTTTGCTGCAAATTTGCGGTCTCGAAGAATGAAAATTAGCAGGGATGCTTTCGGGTTGCAAAATGGGAGGATGTGCGGTCGGGGGATGACGCAAGGGGGCATGCGAGGGATCTGTCGTACCCGGACCGCATTTTCCTCGCTCTTCCTTGCTCTTCCTCGCTCTTCCTCGCTCTTCCGTGTATCGCGCGAGAAAGTCGTTACGGAAAAATTTATTTTTCGTGAGGACGATACGCCGTTTCGCAAGGGGGGATGCGTCGCGATCGAAGAAGGGCTGACCTCTTCGTGACCGACTTTTCCTTTCGCGAAAAAAAAAGGAAACGTGGTGTTTCGGAAGAGGAACGCGAAGAGAAAACCACAGACGCCATGTGGGCATGGCTCGTCAGGGAAAACCTCAGAAGTTTTCCCTTCACCATGCGGAAAAAAATCTCACTGAAAGGCCTCTTTTAAGCATCAAACTGGGGGGTCCTGGCCCCCTCTTCCTGCCCCTCTTCTTGCCCCCCACTTGGCTTCACTTCCATATCTATCGGCCCCCCTCGCTCCTTTCGCTAACTTCATGATTTTTTCAGGTTCTCTTTGTCATCTCTATACAACTGGTTGCAACTGCATACGATAAACACTGAATTTTTTGTATTGATATGGAAATGAAGTCCGCGAATGAATTTTCCTTAATCTCATAACTGATAAGTTTCGGAAACGAATTCACTTCATCCGTCCATTTATTTTTCTGCTGAATCACTTGCAAAGGACAAACGTGCAAAGGAAACGACGACAGAAAGGAGGATCCTTGGGCGTGCCGTGGCAGGCACGACTGCCTTCGGACCAGAATCCTCATTCGTGACAGTAAAGCCATCAAAAAGAAAATTCCAGCCCCTCCTTGTTCCCCCTGCCCCCTTCTCTCCCCCCCCCCCCTCCTGACCCCTTGTCCACGGTTTGCGAAGTACGCGAGACTGTTGGCGATGAAGCTCCTTATTGATGAAGCTCCTTATTCGAGGGAGCACGCTCGAATGATCCGAACGCCAATAAATCAGGCACTCAATTAGGTCATCGACAAAATGGGGTCCGATTTCTCATTCCTCCGCGATCCATCTTGTTCTCCCGGATTCGCGATCGCGAATCGCGAATTCGCTCCGGTCATCGAATTCCAGAGAAGCCGGCTGCGCCAACAGAGCTAGATCATGCCAGATGATTACAATAATCACGTCTCCACTGGGGATTTATGATTCGATACGGGAGAGTAGTGCCGAAAGGCCCCAGGAACGAGCGAAGGGAAAGGGAAAGAAAAAAAAGACTAGTAAAATGGATAGGCCTAAATACAGAAGCCTCGTAGCTCGTGTGCGGGTGAGAGTGAAGTCTTAACCGTTCGGTCACGGTTAGGTGAGCATGGGAAACAGGGTCAGCCCCTGTTTAATATTTATCAATCTCGTTTTCGCCGACACTTTTCTTCGCTGCGTCCGGTCACGACACGACCCATTCTCGTACATAACCCACTCGGAGACGATTAATTACGGCGGAATGGGGTACATTTCGCTGCCGTTTTCGAAAGTGCTTTATCCTTCATACATCATGTTGTGGGACGCCGCAGGGTAAAAGTGATCGGATCGGGTTACGGGGATTTCCACAGAATCAATGAACATGTCAAACGTCTAATTGGTTCGCGGAGCTTGTGCGAGGAAGAAATTCCCTCCGAATAGAGGAATCTCCTCCGAAGGGAATCTCCTCCGAAGAGAATCTCCTCTGATTCGTGAACAGCCGTGAGGGTGCTCGTCTTTGCTTCCAGGTCGTGGAAAACAAAACAAAAAACGAACCGTGTGAATGTAAATAGGGCCACGGCTGACATTTGCATTGTTGCGTGAGGCTACGTGGTCGGAGTTTTTTCACGCAGAGAAGCGGGAAAAAACCCTGAAAGTTCGCGGAAGTTTACGAATGGAAATTCCTCTGGAATGTCTTTCGATCCTGCATTTCCCCATCGCAAATCGTGTCGACTGCCAACGATGAAAGAACCCTAGTACCGGCCTTATACATAAAAAAAAAACTGATTTGAGTCCTCTTGGACTATGAAATTGAAAACAAAAAATTAAGCCTCGTGGAAGTGTAATCAGAAGCTTCTCTTAAGCAAGCATGAAATGTAAGCTTACCACATAAGGCTTCAAATATGAGATCTTGTCAACTTTCTTTTCCTCGAGAAATCTCTCTGGCACTCTCGATGAATTTTGATCAGTAAAGTGGATGGATGATGATTTCCTTAATATCCTTAATTATACAGCGACGCGACTTAAACAGCAGAAAAAAATGAAAGCCGCGCTCCTCATTCCTCGGAATCCCGCAGGAATTTCCCCCTTTTTCGGATTTCAACACCCTCGGTAAGGCAAAGACAAATGGCCCATTCACACGGGAGAAAGAAAAAAAAGACAAAAAAGGGGGCAAAAAAAAGAAGAGTTTTCGGAATGGGAAGGAAGGAAAACTCACCGAAGCGGAAACGAGAAAACTCATATGACTGATGAATCCCCTCCTTTCTTTTGGAATTGCCAGGGGCCCTGCCCACATCCTTCCCGATTAATTTCTCGCTGCTTAATCAAACGAAATTTGATACGAACCACCCCACCCCCCCTTCTCGCTGTTACTTTCCCTGGAAACGGGGTTGCGTCACCGGAGTGTGCCAAAACGGTCAGTTTTTTTCGCGCTTCCGGTGCGTCTTCGCCGACTTTCGTTTTTTTTTTTCTCGTTTCTTATGGGATGGCCTCTCGTCGTTTTCGTTCGGTTCGGTCTTGTCGCTTCTGTTCGTCGGGATCGTTCGTTATTGCATTGTCGTGATTTTTTTTTTGCGTTATGTGCGTACGTGTAAAATTTTCGGCTGAAATACTTCTTCGATTTCATAATCGAACCATATGGGAATAAGATCGACCCAGTTAGTCCAACTGCCTTGAGAAAACCATTATGAAATAATAATCCTTGCGTGCCGCCCTTCTTTTTGTCTCCAATTGTCATTTCCTTCACCTGTTGCCGTTTCGAGCTTTCGCCTTCTGCTCGACAAATGATCAATCGGATAATTGACAAATTGACATATCGAAAAATGGAAATCTCCAGATGGCGTGCGGTCAGCTCCAGCTGCCCGAGCTGACCAACGACCTCCTCCCGGCCAACATGCCGCAGATCCGGAACCTGGACGTGGAGTGTGCCAAAACGGGGATGACGGTGAACATCGAGTTCAGCACGCCGTTTAATGGGGTCATCTTCTCCAAGGGATTCTACTCCAACCCGGCCTGTCGGTGAGTCGACTCCGAATTTCGGTTTTCTTCCATCGGCAGTCTCCAGTCGCAATTTCGAGTCCGAAGATTCCAAGACGGAATTCATTTTGGAATAACAATAATCATTTAAAAATAATAATAAAAATAAGAATAAAATTGGCAGAGATTGCCGATTGGAAGGGGCTTTGCATTAAGCTTCCTTGCTTTCGTGCGAGTCAGCCTTAGGGATGAAGAAAATGTCTCAAAATTACAATTACAAGAATTCGGACATTAAAAAAATGTGTATTCCGTGTCTGAGATATTGCTGGTACTAAATTCACCCATCAGCGCTCGTCGCTGATTAAATAAAAAGGGCAAAAAAATCCTTCCCCAACTCCCATCCCTTTCCCCGACTTGATGAGTTTCTGGGACGCGACCTGCTGACACCGACACGACGCCTATGTGATTGATGGTGATGACCACGATCCCCGTACTGAAACGCATGGAGAACCGAATCAGTGCATGTTGATGACCTTTGCACGGCACAATTCCCCCCTCTGCCCCCCTTCTGCCCCCCACGGTTCCCCCCAACGGACCCCCCCACCCACGGACGGATGCATCCCCCTCCGGATCCGCCGAGAGACGAGGAAGTCCCCGGGAAGAACAGATCGTCATATGCATTTAGATTGCCGTAACGGCTTCATCGGCTTCCCTTTCACCTTCGAGAGGGAAAAAAAAAGAAATGGAGCAATTGGTCTGCATGATGCATGACAAAAGGGCTGCATGCTTCCTTCCATCTGCAGCTGTCATCGGATTTCGTTTCCGACTGGATGGAAAAGGACGGGGACCGTCGGACAAAGTGAAGAAACCGACAAGACGTTCTTTGATGCATCGCCGCGTCCGGCTAGCGAGATTGGCGGGATGCCACTGTTTCCGCGAATGCAAATGAATGACCAGGAAAAAGACAGATTAAAAAAAAAAGAAAAAAAAAACCGGAGGATGTTGCACAAGGAAGCCGCGACGGGGGGTGCCGGATGCATGCCGACGGTGATCGCAACCCCGACGAGATCCACCCGACTCACTCTCGAACCCAGCCCAGACCCTCCTCAGCACCCTCTAAATAAAATGGCATGAGTATAAATAAGTATTCCGGTTTCACTACCAGCAGACGTAGCCGGTGATCGGGGTACCGTAGCGATTTCGAAAGGTTCGGGCCGATCTCCTTCGTCGTCTGTAGTCGTTTCTTTTCCGCATGATTAGCTTAGCTCGTATTTGCATGCTTAGCTCGAGCTGATTTGCTTGCATGGCCTATCTGTAGACGGTAGAGCACCTTCGTCACGCTTTACTGTGTGTATGGGAAAGGACGCAGTGAGAAAAGAAGGGCGATATGTGCAGGTGAGTGCAAGGCCCAGCTGCGTTTCACTTTCGAAACACACGACAAGGATGTATAGAACAGAAAACTGTCACCACACCTGCGTTTTCTGTAAAGAGGTGAGAGGAAAGAGGGAACATAATCCTGAGACAGAGGACAGATGGACAGACTCGGACCGAGACTGCGACCGACCGAGACGTCACTTGGACTTTGACTTTGACATTGCAGGTACGTGACCGGACGAAGTCCTGCCAGACAGTACCGGTTCACGATCCCGACCTCGGACTGCGGGACTCAGGCGTTTTCGGTGAGACAGAGCGAGGGAGGCTCCACGGTCATCCAGAGCACGTTCGTCATCCAGCGCGAGGAGAAGTACCAGGAGTTGTGGGACTCCTCGCGGACCATCAACTGCGAGTGGGTGGACAACGAGGTCAGGACCGTCACGTCGAGGCCGTTCTCGGTGGATCGGTTGGACTCGGTGGAGTTGCGATTCTCCGCCGAGGAGGCCGTGGACGTGTGGATGGACTTGCAGGTGGGGCGGTGGCCCCATTCGGCGGCCATCAATTCCGTCGTTCGGATCGGCGAGAGCATCTCGGTGTTGGTGTTCGCCACGGACGCGAATAGGGACTTTGAACTCAGCGTTCGAGATTGTTACGCATCGTCGAAGCCCACGATAGACGACCCGTTCGCGATCAATTTACAATTGACGGATACCGATGGCTGCGTCCTCAAGGATAAGCTCATAGGTCCGTTCTTCCGGTCTCGATCCGCGGACGCGAGCCTTCACAGCATGATGGCCGTCGCGTACATGCAGGCGTTCAAGTTTCCGGACTCCATGGACGTGTATATGATCTGTAACGTGGAGGTGTGCAAGCATAACTGCCGGGAGAACGTGTGTCAGGCCGTACTGGACAACCCGGACTTTCAGATCCCGAGCACACCTCTATATCCGCCGTTCGCTTCCTCGTCGGAGAGGTCCGAGATCGCCACCACTCCGCAGGCACTCCACGAGGTGCCGCCACCGCGTCCCGTGCCGCTGCCGCCGCAGCCGTTGCCGCAGCAGCCGACGCCGCCGCAGCCGACGCCTGCCGCTTCTCGCTTCTTCGAGCAGACGGTGCAGTCTCAATTCTTCGTCAACAACCCGGAGCGGAATTCCCCGCCGGACCTGACGCGGAACTTCGTCGTCCCCCCCGGGAATGGCTTCTTCACGACGACCCAGGAGACCCCGGCGACCACCTCCAGGCCCCGCAACCCCTTCGTGACTCCCCCGATCCCGTCGCAGCAGCAACGTCCCCCGCCCCCGCCGAGAAACGGATTTCAACAACAGCAACGAGGGCAAGCACCACCGCCGCCGCCGCCGCCGCCGCAAATTCGTCCCCGGAACCAATACCAGAACCACCAAGGGGTTCCGTCGGAAGTATCCTCACCTCCCAAGCCGGTCTCCGGCTTCCAAAACAACCGACAGCCGTTCAAGCTCGAGGTACCCGTCCCTGTCATCGTGGAGGGGATACCGCAGAACTCACAGGCCAACTCCCAGATCTACTTCAACCAAGCCGCGCCCAGGGCGACGCCTCGCTCGGATTACTTCGAGGACGGGGAGCCCCTGGCCGTGTTCCTGGTCACCCCCGACCCCAACCAGCGACCCGCGCTGCCGATCCAGGAACAGTTCCTCTTCCGGGGTCGACCCAAGCGGACGGTGAACGAAACGGGGAAGGACGCGGGGAAAGTCCGGGTCCATCGAAGCATCCACGTCATCGCACCCGACGACCTCGTCACCTTGAATTCCACCAGAAACGGCCTGTTCTCGGAGAGGTACCGCGACGGGAGCGAGGTGTGCATGACGAGCTCCGTGTTTGCCATCACGGTTTCCTTGCTGGTTGGGGGGTTTCTCATGGCCTCGTGTGCCACGTTGGTCTCCTGCTATCGGCAGCGCAGGAACAAGGCGTTCGTGGAGGTGGACACCATTTCTCAGAGCAACATGTGATCGTCGGCTGCTTCGCCCATGAGTCTTTCAACGAAAGAGTAGTTTAAAAAGAAAGAAAAAAAAGGAAAAAAGGAAGATGTTGCAACGTCGTCATCGCGTCGCCCATGTCAATCTTAATGTGCGGGTGACGGTGCACAAGTGTCCGAGATTTCGAAACGAGGAAGAAGGGGGGGATTCATTATGGGTATTCACATGGTGCCTATAATAAGAGGATTTTTTTTTCTTTTTCTCTTCGCCGGTGTCAAAGTTTCGCCAATCGCAAAACATTCGCTTATGAAACGCGGATAATCCGTCTTAAAAGCGGACGGACGATGACAACGTGAAACGGAAGGGAGGATTAGGGTCAAAGGTCATTCAAAGGGGAAGGCAATAATTGGTCCGCCTGAGCCAATTGGTCCTCTTGGGCCCACGTTCCAGGTTCTTTCAACACCAGAAGTGAAAGGCACGACCCCGGACCCGCACGAATGGGCGCTCTTGCACGTTCGCTGCGACCGCCACTTCCTTCGTCGCTCCAGGATTCATGACATGACATGCCAAACTAGTCCAGGGTTTGTCCCTGTTATGTGTTCCTTCGTCGTTTTTATTTTTTATTTTTATTTTTTTTGCTGTCGTTTTGTTGCTGCTGTAGGGTTCAATAAAATATACCTCTTCGTTTCCGGATTTTTTTTTTCAGGCCGATTTTAGGACGATTGCATTCGACCGAATTTATTTTCATCGTAATATTCGAGTAAAATTTGACGTCAAAAGTTCATGGAATCTCAGTTCATGGTCGGGTGCGAGCGCGTTAAAAAAGAAAAGAATCGGATCTGACAAACGACAATCGACTGGACTCAGCAGGACTCGGCAGGACTCAGCATGACTCGGCAGGACTCAGCAGGACTCACACGCACGGCCATCCCGTCATCCTCCCCCCACGATCGAGGCTCTTGCAAGGGACCGCCGCAATTGCTCGGGAAGAGAAAGAAAGGACAAGAAAAAACAATAAAGGGAAGGAAGGGTCAGGGAGAGCGAGGAGCCCGCGACCTTGCCACTCGGAGCTGACCCCTCTCCCAATGAGGATGAAGTAATTTTTAAGCCCTTGCGTAACCCCCTTGTCTCTCTCGGAGATGATAGGCCTCCAGTGGTTTTGTTTTATTCACGATGCGACTCTCTTTGGGCATGCATCTCGAGAGCATCTCACGTGCGATCGATGGGTTTCGTCCCACTGGCACGTGTTAGGTCTTCGTCGACTGGAGTGCCTCGTGTCTCAGGGGTTTTCATTATTTTTATTTCATTATGTATGCGAGAAGGGAGGAGATAAATAACTGTCATCTGTAGTCGCGCTAAGTTCATGAAATTCTTCAGCAGTTGGAGCCCCGACCAAGATATTGTTAAAACTCTTAGTGGATTATATATATTTTATCTGATTCCCCCGTACGCCACGAAATGAGTCTTTTTTTTTCTCAGAATGAAATTTGCCTCAGAATCAAATTTTCTTTTTTAAATTGCATTAGCAGTGGGATCTCAAAAGCGACTTCGGAACAGATTATTCACGTGCATTGCAATTACAGGGTGTTCTAGTCGAGTCGAGTAGCAGAGGATTCCGACATGAATACAGGAAAATGACAGCACATTTCATGCCGGATAGTCTTGGCTTGGCACAGATAAGGGTATCTGTCATAAAATTGTTTGCATCAGATGTAAAAGTCTTTTGAAGCCAGCGCTGCACGTGCTGAGAAGTTCAAGCATGATCAAGTGTTGCAAGACTTGGGCAGTATGTTAGCGTAAGCACCGAAGTCGGAGAGGTCACGTATGTCTTGCATATTGAGGAGTACTGCATCGAGAAAATAGCGGGTTGCAGAGTATTGCGTTGAGAATAGCTTTCAGCGTTTTCATCTAGTAATCTTGTAAGTGCTTAAAGAGTAGGACATTTTAGCGACTTGAAAGAGAATTCAAGCGCGAGTGCATCGATCGAAGTAATTGGGAAACAGGGGCCAAGACGTAATGATCGTGATTATAGCAGTATAAAGGTGATTACACGCACAATGAGCCGTGATGCCGTGACACAAAATCCTAATTGCTCCACCCAAACGAGGAGGTAATGAGTGGAGAAGCATTTCAAAAGTAGGATCATAATGGCAGCTGAGGCTGGACGGAACTCCAACCGTATCAGAAACTCAGAGCCTCACGGTTTAAGCAAAAGATCACTTCTACGTTTCAACGTTGATTTATTTTTGACCGCGGCCGAAGTGCCTCTCGATCCCTGCGCAAGAGCCTCCAAACCATGCCCGAGCACATGGGGTGAAAGACACGAAACAGCTGGGTCGAGTAGGCATGATGAGTTGGTGTTTGTTGGTCAGTTACGTGCAGGCGAACAGCGGCCGAACGCAGTACTCCTTCACGATCGCGATGAGGGACTGCGGGACGAGCCACTTCGAATCGTCGGGGACGCTGGGCTTCGAGAACACCATCATCATCCAGATGGAGGAAGTCGTGCAGGAGGCGTGGGACACGGCGAGGAAGATCTCGTGCGACTGGAAGGACTCGCTGGAGAAGGAGGTCATCTTTCAGCCGTTCACCGTCGGGATGCTAGAGGTTCAGGAGGTTCGGTTCGGGGGGGATAACGTGGAATGTTGGATGGACATCAAGAAGGGGAAGGATCCGTTCGGTACCACGGTCGAGGGGATCCTGGAGATCGGGGAGGACATGACGGTCGTCGTCTATGCGTCCGACGGCGGGAGCAACTTCGACATCCTCGTCAAGAACTGCTGGGCGTATGATAGCATGGACTATGAGAATTCGGGAACGAACAAGGTCAGACTCAGCGACGACAAGGGATGTCGACTGAAGCCCAAACTCATGGATTATTTTTTCCGGACCCGGGAGACTCGTTCCACGGGAGCATCCATCATCGCCTACGCTCCCATTTATGCCTTCAAGTTCCCAGATAAGATGGGCGTTTACTTGACGTGCGACGTGCAGCTGTGTAAGGGCGGATGCACGGATTTCTGCGAAGACCCGGGTTACCCGAGCGAACCCATCGGGGGAGCCCTGTTACCTGACGTGGTGACCACGACCCAGTTCTCCTGTTTCCTGGGTTCCACGGATCCGAGGTGCACGACGACCACGATCCGACCCCTTCCGACCACAACCCAATTCGTATGCGGACCGACGACGGTGGATCCCCGCTGCCCGGCCAACTGTAACATCCCGAACAACCCAGACCCCCGCTGCATCACCACGCCGCATTTCTTTCCGGCCCCTACCACCACGCCCTTCGTATGCCATCCCGGTTCTTCCGATCCCCGATGCCCCCTGCAGTGTTTCCCAGGTAGTACGGATCCGCGATGTCCTCCTCCGCAGACTCTACCACCTTCAACGCCTCCCCCGACCACCCAATTCGTGTGCACGCCGAATTCTTTAGATCCTCGATGCGCCACCTTCGCACCTCCCACCACCACCCCTTTCATTTGTCAGCCCGGACTAGCGGATCCTCGTTGCCCCCCCGCCTGCTTCCCCGGTAGTCCCGATCCGCGATGCCCCCATGAGCCAACCCCACCGCCCGTTCAACCTCTACTTCCTCAACAACCTCAGATTCTGCAGCCTGTCCCCTTCCCCCAACCTCAGCCTCAGCCACAACCCCTTCCTCCACCTCAGCTGGTCCCATTCCCGCAACCTCAACCGCAACCCCAACCCCTCCCTCTCCAACCCCAACCCCTTCCTCTGCAGGAGCACTATAGCAACCAGGACCCGCGATTCCATGCATTCCACCGCTGGCAATACGAACCAGCTCCAAGCCGATTCACGACTACCCAAAACGGAAACGGGAACATAATCGGTGGGAATGGAAACGCGTTACGTAGTGGCGGAAACGGGTTTGGTGTGAACGGGCAAGCGAACGGGCTTGGTGCGAACGTGAACAGTTTGAGCGTGAACGGGAATGGTTTAAGCGTTAACGGGAATGGGCTTGGCGTGAACGGGAATGGGTTTAGCGGGAACGGAAACGGAAATGTGAACGTGCGCGTGAACGGGAATGGAAACGGAAATGGGAACGTGCGCGTGAACGGGAATGGATTCGGCGTGAACGGAAACGGGAACGGACGTGTGAATGGAAATGGATTTGGCGCGAACGGAAACGGGAACGGGCATGTGAATGGAAACGTGAATGGAAACGGGAACGGGCATGTGAACGGAAACGTGAATGGAAACGGGAACGGGCATGCGAACGGAAATGTATTTGCCGTGAACGGAAACGGGAACGGGCATGCAAATGGAAATGTATTTGCCGTGAACGGAAACGGAAACGGGCAAGTGAACGGAAATGGATTTGCCGTGAACGGAAACGGGAACGGGCAAGTGAACGGAAATGGATTTGCCGTGAACGGAAACGGGAACGGGAACGGCTTCGGCCGGCGGAAGCGAGAGGTCCACATCGCCCCGTCGAATAATCACACCATCAGTTTCGCCACGGGATTCCAGGTGATATCGGTAGAAGACATCGACGGAGCCGAGGGGAATTCCATGGTGTTCTTCGGCCGCGTCCACCCGCAGGACGCGACCGAGGGCCAGGTCTGCATGCCCCAGGTCTCGTTCGCGCTCGGACTCGTGTGCATCTCCTGCGTCCTGCTCACCGCCGGACTCGTGTGTCTCGGCCTTTACATCCGCCTCCGAAGGTATGCCAAATGGTAAATATATAAAAAAAAGAACGTTTTTTATCCGAGCCGCAACGAGGACCTTTCAGAGGCCAGTCTCTCCGATTCTGCGACCCCGACACGAGTTCCTCTGCCAGGTCGACCTTCCGCTTACCATTCTTCAGGGTCTTTCGCTTTCGCATTTTTAAGGATAGTCTGTGACGCGTACATGCTAAGAGTTTATAATTGTCTGTCCGTGACCTTTGACTCAATAAACTCTATATTGCGTGACGTCCGGAGTTTTTATTTATCCGTTCGAATCACGACGAACCTCGACCCACAAGATGCCCCAGCTGCAAGAAGTTGCAAAAAACGAAGATGGAACAACCGACGAGAAAGTGAGTCCTTTTCTAATTCTTCTCCATGCGATTTTTTTTTTGCCAAGGCTTATCGCTTCGCACGTGCCGAATTTTCGAACCTGCTTGCAAATTGAGCTGCGCACAGCTAAGCCCTTCGCTGCTTCGTTTATGCACTTCATAATGCTATTCCATGATTTCTTCATGCATTTTTGTCATGCTCGATTCCACGGTCGGAACACGCCTGCCACTCTCTCTCTGCGTTTTGAAAAGAGTCCATTGTGGGCGTGATTCCGGCTTGCAAAACCCGTCGGAGACGGACCCAGAGACGCGATTCGTTCCGGTGCGTGCGAATGAGGCAACGCTCCGACGCCCATAAATCCCGGAAAGAGAAGGAGAAAGTCGGTGAATTTCGACTCTTTAATAATCGGCAGGCAAGGGGGGAGGGGGGGAGGGACGATTCGATAAAGGACAGGTGGTCAAAGGACACCAAGGCGAGCCAAGGCCATAAAAGCGAGAATTGTCTCCTTGACACGGACGACCCTCTCAGACGACACCGGATTGCCTTGGGACCCGTTCCCTGCGAATGGCTCAACCCATCTGCCATCGCTTCTTCATGTTTTATGCTCGTCCGGAAAAAAAGAAGAAATTTGCATGAGAATGGACATCAGATGTACGCGATTGCGTAAGGTACTCAAGGTTCGAGCGATAAATCTGGCTCAGCCATGCAATTTTAGGAGCTTGCCTGCTTATTATCTTCGCTCAGGGAATTAAGATTAATTTTTCAACGTGAAGGGCTGAAATCCCGAATATTTTTTTCAGCAGGTTTCCTTCTAGGCTTCCGACGCATAAAGAAGCAGAAGCGAATCACTTTCCGGTGGACATATTACCGGAGAAATTTTAGTTTTCGATTTCCGACTCTCCAAATTTCGTCGCTAAATTTTTCTCGCCGTGATCTCGACTCTCTCGTACACGCCAGTTAAATAAGTAATTTGATGCCTTGATAATTTATTCGGTCTCGAACCCTTCGAGTCCTCGCCCTCACGTCGTCCCGCGACCTCTCCCGGCAGGTACGTGCTCGGCGGCGAGTCTCGGGACAGGTACAGCTTCTCCATCTCGGTCGACGACTGCGGGACCGCGATCGAGGGGGCCGGGGACAACAAGGTCATCGCCAACACCATCGTCCTGCAGATGGACCCGCTCGTCCAGGTAACCGATTTTTTTTTTATCGCCTTTCGCGAGCGTGGAACTGCTGCGATCGGATGTAACGACTTTCTCTTCGCGACTCCGCGCTTTTAAAAACACTCGAAAACATCTCTCGAGGTGTTATTGCTGATGATGAAATCCGTTGCATCATCCGGCAATATGCGAGCCCTTCTCCTTCCCACGATCCGTCTTCTCCCTCTGGAATGAGAAACCTTGAAGAGACCCTTCACACCTACTTTTCCAGTCAATCCAGGGACGTATCCCGAGTTCCTTCTTGCGTAATCTCAGGATTTCCACGCATTTTTATCTCATTTCTCCCGGCGACTCGATTCGTTCCATCGTACTATTTTTTTAAATTTGTCATTGTTCTTTCGTTATTAGGAAGCGTGGGACGCGGCGAGAAAGGTGTCGTGCGTGTGGAGCGGCCAGCAGGAGAAGACCGTCAAGTTCGACCCCTTCCAAGTCGGGATGCTCGAGGTCATCTCGCAGCAGTTCTCGGGCGACATGGTCGACTGCTGGATGGCCATTCAGCGGGGAGAGTACCCTGAGGTTCTCCCGCGTTCCACCCCGTTTCCCTCTCCCCCCACCCTTCGGATTTCGATCAAAGTCGAGGTTTCGGGTTGACAGGTCTCGCCGATCACGGGGATCGTCGAGATCGGGGAGCCGCTGACGCTGCTCATCTACCTGAGGGAAGAGAGTGGGAGCTTTGATATTCACGTCAAGGACTGCTACGCTTATGATAGCATGGAGTACGATTCGCCCGAAACCATCAAAGTACAGCTCACCGACGAGAATGGATGTCCCAGGTTTGCAAATTCGCTTGAATTCGCGCATTAATGTCAGGTTTTTAACTTTCTCTTAGAATAATAAAGAGGTACAGGTTATTTTTTCCACTTCCAAGAATACTCCAGACAAAGAATGTGGGACACACGCCGATTGTGACGCTCTGATAGCATTTGATAATGTTTTTCTTTGTCCTCCCTTCAAGTTTTGAGAGCTTAAATTGAACTTGAGTACCTATCTTATCGTCCCAAATATGTTTCAATATTTTACATTCTCGCACATTTGGTCGACTTGTCGGACTGCATTATCTTACAGAAAGACGAAACTGATAGGATTTTGGGAGACGACGACGGACACGCGGGACTCGGGCGCGACCCTCATCGCCTACAACCGCGTCTCGGCCTTCAAGTTCCCCGACAAGGCCCAGATCTTCGTCACCTGCAACGTCGAGGTACGACCCGAACGACTTCCACGCTCCCCAATGCCAGCCATGTGTCTCACACACCCTCTTTTATACCCGCAGCTGTGCAAGGGACCCTGCGATAACCCGTGCCGAGGGACGGGTCAGGTGGTGACCACGCGAAGGCCGTTCGTCTGCACGCCGGGTAGTACGGATCCACGGTGTCCTCGGCCCACTACGACCGACAGGTATGATGCTTATAGTCGAATCTATGGGTTCAAGATCGAAGCAGGCCTCTGTATCAAGGGAGCAGGCATTCTATCAAGCATTTATTCATTCGTGTAGTGTTGGTAAAAGAATCATAAAGCGTGTCCGGTCCTATCTACGGCGGAAGGATCCTCAAGCGGACTCATCCAGGATTTTTCCCCTGAAGGACATTTCTCAAATAGGATTCTTTCCCGATCGTAGAGTTTCAATATTAGAGCATTTCTAGGACAGATCACCAAAGGTGATATTCCTAGGCGGATGTTTCCCCGCTGACGACCAACCCGAAATCGGTGGTCATGAATCTGAGGCCAGATTGAGATTCTTCTGCATCTCCTCATGCTAACTCTAATCAATGGCGAGCCGCGCTGGCGATATCTATGCAGGGAAGAGGGATCGTCGGGGCTGTTCCGATTGTCGAAGGTCGAGGATCGAGGCTAGAAATAGGGTCGATTCTCTGCAGTCATGAATCATCACTTCGAGGTCTAACGGAGCCTAAAGAAAAAGAACTAAGGTTGACAGGGACTTGATGGTAATCGGGAATAGATGAGAGCATTTGTTGTGGGATTTCGCCTTTAGAGTAATAATTAGCAATTTTAATGAAATTCTAAGGAAAAATATAAATTCCGAGAGGGAGAGCACTGGAAGAAAATCAAACCAAGAAAACATTTGGGGGGGGGGGAATGAAACACCCTAATAATTTTCCAAGGAGAGAATGTCAAGAAATCATGAAGACAACCTGAATTGAAACAAAACGCAAAATCGATGAATATAAGAGCCATTAATAAACAAAATACGAAGAAATTTCATTAATATAAGATACGATATTAAATGCAGCGCATTCCTGCCCATTTCCGGCACACCGAAATAGTTTATTATATATACAGCGTTATCATAAAGTCACCACCCTATTTTGATTGGCTTTAACTTTTCAAGGGACAGTCAGATTCAGCTGATATTTGACAGAGAGGTTCATGAGCCCAGGAGGTTTTTTTCCCATGCTGCAAAATGGCGCTACATGGCGACAGAGGGCGCTGATGTCGACTGCAGCGCCACCTATCTACTTGCTATGTCATTTTCCAAGTATAATTTAAAAAAAACCTCTTTGGCAAATGAGCCTATCTGCCGAATAACATCTGCGTATGAGAGATCTTTCAAAAGATATGGTCAAACAAAGTTGAACGGTGACTTGTAACAATCGAACTTGGTTTGGTCATACCGTTTTAAGGAATAGTCAGATGCAGCTGACGTTTGACAGAGATGTTCATGGGTGTATGCCCTATTTGTTCCTTTGCTCGGCACATGTTAGTACATATTGACAAGGGGCACTGTGATTGCATATGTGAAGGTGAAATGTGAAGGAGCACGAGGGATCTGCTGACAATTTATATTTTGTAACACGAAGTAACAACATATCAAAGTAAGACGTTGTTGCACTGGGAGTTTCACGATCTTTGGTCAGGAGTGGTGGAAATGCTAGACGTATTCCTATTTTTTTTTTTTTTTTAGCCAATTCCTATTCTCTATCTCTTAGCTTTGCTTATGCCACCACAGCGCCACCTGCCAACAGGCACAACCATGTGCGGGCTGGGAAACAAATGTCATAAACCCATGAACATCTCTGTCAAACACCAACTGCATCTGACTATTCGTTAAAAATTATGACCAAACAATGTTCGATTGTCACAAGTCACCATCAAAACTTACTTAACCATATCTTGTGAACGAACTCTCACACGTAGATGATATTTGGCAGAGGCTCATGGGCCAAATAGATTTTTTCTCGTACATGAAAAAAAGACATGGCAAGAAGATAGGTGGCACTGCAGTCGACATCAGCTACCTCAATCGGCATGCAGCGCCTCCAAGGCAAGGGAAAAAACCTCCAGGGCACATGAACCTCTGCCAAAAATTGTCAGCTGAATCTGACTCACCCTTGAAAACATATAGTCAATCAAAATAAGGTGGTGACATTATGATATAAAAAAAGGAATGAATAACTTTCACATTCCTTCCAATATGAAATATTAAATTCAAAATTTAAAAACGAAACGAAAATAGCATCATGAATAATGCCGAAATGGTGCAAGCATGAAAATTTCTGAAAAATTTTTTTTCTTTAATTCATACAGACCCACTACACAATTTGTCTGCACGCCAACCAGTACAGATCCAAGATGCCCACCAAATTGCAACTTCAACCCAAACGACATTCGATGCCCTCCACCGGCCACGACTACCACACCCCGGCTGACAACAACGCAATTCGTATGTAGACCAGGAAGTTTGGATCCGAGGTGTCCACCAGATTGCTTCAATTTCCCGAATGATCCAAGATGTCCCAGACCCACGACCACACCCGCTCCCAGGCCAACAACAACAATATTCACCTGTAGACCTGGAAGTTTAGACCCCAGATGTCCTCCAGATTGCTTCAATTTCCCAAATGATCCCAGATGTCCAAGACCAACGACAACAACCACTCATAGACCAACAACCACCCAATTCGTATGCAGACCTGGAAGTTTGGATCCGAGGTGTCCACCAGATTGCTTCAATTTCCCGAATGATCCGAGATGTCCTAAACCGACTACAACAACTACGCCAAGAACAACAACCACAATATTCACCTGTAGACCGGGAAGTTTAGACCCCAGATGTCCTCCAGATTGCTTCAATTTCCCGAATGATCCCAGATGTCCAAGACCAACAACAACAACCACTCGTAGACCAACAACCACTCAATTCGTATGCAGACCTGGAAGTTTAGACCCCAGATGTCCTCCAGATTGCTTCAATTTCCCGAATGATCCCAGATGTCCTAAACCGACTACGACAACCACACGTAGACCAACAACCACACAATTCGTTTGCAGACCAGGAAGCTTGGACCCAAGGTGTCCACCGGACTGCTTCAACTTCCCGAATGATCTTAGATGTCCCAAACCAACTACAACAACTACGCCAAGACCAACAACCACAATATTCACCTGTAGACCGGGAAGTTTAGACCCCAGATGTCCTCCAGATTGCTTCAATTTCCCTAATGATCCCAGATGTCCAAGACCAACAACGACAACCTATAGACCTCCTCCCACTACTCAATTCATTTGTCGCCCGGGGAGTTTAGATCCGAGATGTCCGCCGGATTGCTTCAATTTCCCGAATGATCCAAGATGTCCCAAACCGACTACGACAACCACACATAGACCAACAACCACACAATTCGTTTGCAGGCCAGGAAGTTTGGACCCCAGATGTCCTCCAGATTGCTTCAATTTCCCTAATGATCCCCGATGTCCAAGACCAACAACGACAACCACTCCAAGGCCAACAACCACCCAATTCGTTTGCAGACCAGGAAGTTTGGACCCCAGATGTCCTCCAGATTGCTTCAATTTCCCGAATGATCCCAGATGTCCAAGACCAACAACGACAACAACTCGTAGGCCAACAACCACACAATTCGTATGCAGACCTGGAAGTTTGGATCCGAGGTGTCCACCAGATTGCTTCAATTTCCCTAATGATCCCAGATGTCCGAGAACCACTACAATTAGACCAACAGAACGATACCCTTGTACCCCAGGAAGCATTGATCCGAACTGTCCTCCTGATTGCATCCAAAATCCTAACGATCCAAGATGCCCGAGGCGAACGACTACAACATTCAGACCTCCTACCACCACTCAATTCCAATGTCGTCCAGGAAGCTTGGATCCGAGATGTCCTCCGGACTGTTTCAATTTCCCGAATGATCCTAGATGTCCTAGACCTACCACCACCCCTCCCCCTCGGCCTACAACCACGCAATTTGTATGCAGACCTGGAAGTTTGGACCCGAGATGTCCTCCAGATTGCTTCAATTTCCCTAATGATCCCAGATGTCCTAGACCTACCACCACCCCTCCCCCTCGGCCAACAACCACGCAATTTGTATGTAGACCTGGAAGTTTGGACCCGAGATGTCCTCCAGATTGCATCAACTTTCCCAATGATCCAAGATGTCCGAGGAGACCCACTACGATCAGACCAACAACAGGACGATACCCTTGCTCGCCTGGAAGTATTGATCCAAATTGCCCCCCAGATTGCCGCTATAATCCAAACGATCCGAGATGTCCCAGACAAACAACGACAACCTACAGACCTCCTCCCATCACTCAATTCATATGTCGGCCAGGGAGTTTGGATCCGAGATGCCCGCCAGATTGCTTCAACTTCCCGAATGATCCTAGATGTCCTAGACAAACAACGACAACCTTCAGGCCTCCTCCAACCACTCAATTCATATGTCGGCCAGGGAGTTTGGATCCGAGATGCCCGCCAGATTGCTTCAACTTCCCGAATGATCCTAGATGTCCCAGACAAACAACGACAACCTACAGGCCTCCTCCAACCACTCAATTCATATGTCGGCCAGGGAGTTTGGATCCGAGATGCCCGCCGGATTGCTTTAACTTCCCGAATGATCCAAGATGTCCGAGACAAACAACGACAACCTACAGGCCTCCTCCCATCACTCAATTCATATGTCGGCCAGGGAGTTTGGATCCGAGATGCCCGCCAGATTGCTTTAACTACCCGAATGACCCTCGATGCCCAAGACCAACAACAGGACGATACCCTTGCACGCCTGGGAGCATTGATCGGAATTGTCCGCCAGATTGCATCCTATATCCAAACGATCCAAGATGTCCGAGGTCAACGACAACCTATCGACCTCCTACTACTACACAATACATCTGTAGACCAGGAAGTTTGGATCCGAGATGTCCAGCAGATTGTTCCAATTTCCCTGATGACCCTAGATGCCCACGACCAACCACTACGACCACTCCCCGTCCAACGACTACGCAATTCATTTGCAGACCAGGAAGTTTGGATCAGAGATGTCCTCCTGATTGTTCTAGTTTCCCTAATGATCCCAGATGTCCCAGACCAACTACGACAACTACTCCTAGGCCGACGACAACGCAATTAATCTGCAGGCAAGGCAGCTTGGACCCGAGATGCCCACCGGATTGTTCTAGTTTCCCTAATGATCCTAGATGTCCCAGACCAACTACGACGACTACTCCTAGGCCGACGACAACACAATTAATCTGCAGGCCCGGAAGCTTGGATCCAAGATGTCCTCCAGACTGCTCCCAATTCCCGAACGATCCAAGGTGCCCACGCCCCACGACAACCGAGCCCCCCATCGAACCTGCACCCGACCATAACTGCTTCCCGGGAACCACAGAACCTCGCTGCATCGCCCTCTGCTTCCCTGGATCCCCTTATCCCCACTGCCGGACTACTACCCGCGAACCTGGTGACTTCCATGGTGCGGGCAAGGATCCTCGATATCATGCCTTCCACAGACGTAAGTTCTAAATGGTGTTCCAAAGAAAAATTGCTTAGCTTGGCCTTTAAATTTCTTTTTAAGTCTGAAATAATTATTATTTGCAACGACATTATGCCCATCACATTGCAACGTAGCACGTTGAATGTTTCGATTGTAGCGACCTATCTACTGCAATGTGGTGATGCAATAATCACCGCTCTGCTTCTCAGATCTAGGGAAGAAAATTGAAACTGGGCAGCCATTGTTCCGACCTGACTACGCCATATTGGGTGAAATCATATTAACCATATGAGTTCAACTAGGCTCTGTGCCGCAGGACTTAATATTAATTTAAATAGATAATGTGGAGATAAAGAAAGACTTTGGGTGGATTGCATAAACTTTAGCGTAATGGAGCTTTAAACCTCCTTTGGGGCAATTCATCCTTTTTATTTCCTGCCATTCGATATCCTGAGCCATGTGTGCGTAAAATATACTCTTTTTGCCTTTTCTCTGAAAAGCGAAAAGCCGACGCGATCGTACATGCTTGGTCGCGAATTCTTTCTTTCATTTCCCTTTTACGACAGGTCCTGATTCATTTTTGCATGCAGTTCCTGTTTTCTCGACATTTCACGACTCCGTCTTGCGAGAAACTTAACTTCTCAGCCCCACGGCGTTTAGAATCGGTTCGTAAAGTCTATGGATCGGAAGATTCCGATATTTACCGTCGAAGTGCAGCGTGAGATTCGTTGGAAGAATTTGTAATTGGTAATTTATAATTCCATTGGTGGAGACCGTGAGCCACACTCACTTTTCCCAAGAACCGATGGAACAGATCCTGTTGGGCTGAGAACATGCGAAAGTCAGGAGACAGTCCAAGGGCCCGAATTTGCATGTAGATGGCTTGACCCATTGAATAAAGTTACAGACAATATGATTCGATGGGTTCGCATCATACGCGTGGCGAGGATCGAACGAATCCAGGAAAGCAATGGTTGTAACTTGCAACAAAGACATACCAACTGGTTGGGAGGATTTTCCTTATGATCCCGCTCTAGATGTGTAGTTCTACCGTCGTGGCAGCACAATGCTGCTCCAAGTATTCCTCAAATTCGTTCTGCCTTCCCCATGGTGGACGTTTGAGTCCAAAGTATTTTCACCTTGGCCGTTCACCGCGCATATGCACCGTGTTATCTTAGCAGTGGTGTTCTTCATTCTCATTTCTATAGTGATCAAACATCTAGTGATCACTGAAAGAGCATTATAATGAATGATAAGTACAAATATTTATTTCCAGACGTCAATTTACCAAGTTAAACGAGGTAAGAACCAAGTTGAAACTAGTAAATTGCGGATGCGGACGCTCAGTAGCTCCTGTTTGAGCCATGTTAAGAGTATCAGATAGCTTGGTATAATAATAATAATAATAAATCGAATGGCATGTAAATATCTAAAGGCTGATGGAGGTGTCGTACATGGGAGACGGAGAAAATCATGTACCGTCGACACCGGAGCGTTAATCAAAAGAAAGATAAAGCCTCTACGGCCTTTTAACAGCTGACCTTGGACAATGGAAATTGTCCTTTAAAAAATTTTTAAAAAAAGGAAACAGGAGGCATGCTACGAATCTGTTCTGTTGCAGACTTGTACGAGCCAGCCCCGAACCCTCGCCGCATCGGAGCAGCGGCACTCCCTCGCGGCAAGCGAGAGATCGGACAGGAACCCCTTGAAGTCCCGGATCTCGACTCGGTCGAGACCCCGAAGGCCCCAATCGGCAGCTGGGTGGGTACGCCTATGGTCGCCCTGCTCGTCTCCGTCGTCTTTGTCTCCCTCCTCCTAGTCACCATCAAGGGTAGCAAATTCCTCTCAAGCTTCATCTTCAACCGTTGAAGATGAGGATCAGCGAGGGATGCTTGTCACTGCCTGCTTTCTAGTTACCGAGATTGAAATCCAAATCAAACTCTGAATCTCGTCTGCTTAGTGTGAACTCGAGATGCATGAATGGAATGAACAAGGAATTTTTTAACGTGACTATTTGGGCATTTTTACTTCGACTTCCATTAATCATTCTAACATTGAATTCCCAAGAAGCTCCAAGCTTTTCGTGGTCTTTCCAGTCCCTCACTGCATAATGGATCGAGAACGAGGAGACACACTGCTGGATAAGATCGTCTGCAAAATTTACTGAAGAATCATCCATCTGATCCTTGAAACAATTACGGTGGATCAGAAAATTCATATTGTATATTTCATTGAATCAGCTTAAAAAAAAAAAGCTCTCCGTTTGCAGTAACAGGCCTGCCCGTCTCTTCAAATGCCTAATATGCCGGGAAAAAAACAACCCGGTTCTAGTTTCACGATGGGACTTGCGAGTTTCGACGGGAATAATGAATGAGGACTTTTTCATTCATTTTGGCCCTTTTACACCACTGCTACTCATAACAAATATATATAATAAACAGGGAAAATTGTGGATGGGAGAATATTTTCGAAACACAATCATCCATGAGAATTTTCAGGACTTCCTTTCGCATCCTAGGAATATGATCGATCCCAGTGAGGTGTGCTTTCTCCATTACAAATCTTACTTCTGTGCAGACGTCACCTACCAATCAACTAAACAGCATACATTTATTGTTGTGGACCCCTTGGCAAGGTTTTTTTAAAGCACATTTCGTTTTATTAAGAACGAGCTTAAACGAAGACTGGGTAGGAGATTGACATGCATACTCTTTACCGTTTTATACTGACGCTGTACATTTAACATACCATGCAAATCACAGGAATGTTCTCACTATTCCAAGGAGAATAAGAATGATTTGTGACATATGGCTCTTCTCCATACGGTTCCTTCCAGACACACACAACATCTGTCATATGTCTTCAGAAACTAACAGCTGGGCAAGATACAGCCTTCATTAGGACCCTCCCTTTTCAAAAGTGAAAAGCTGATTCTCAGTGCAGGTGTAAGTACAGTATAGGGAAACATCTAAAATGAATCAATGAAAAAATAAGCCATAATGAATTCCCAAAGGATTTTTACTGATAATGTTTGACAAAATATAGGTAGTCATGTGCAAAAATATACTATCACCAAATTTTAGGGGTGAAGAGACAACCTGACTTCAACAAAAAAGGTTACAAAAACATATGTAACTTCAGTACAATTTATCATAATAATGATTGTGCCATGCAATAACTTATAGCATTGATTTTCAAGCCAATGAAAGACAAGCTCAGTTTTTAAAACCAAAGGGTATCAAGTAAATGCACTGAATGAGTTACATAAAATTTCTTCAGAGCCTATAATGCCCCTGAACGGGAATCACACTGGATTTGAGCAACAGCACCTAATTGTTCCCATTAGGAGTGGGAGAGACAAGTAAGACACACTGTGGGATGGGGATGGGAACGTGAAAGGCATATGCGATGCATGCCATGTCCACAGGCGTAGATGAGAATCCCCTCTTCCATCAGAGCTTTGTTCCACAATGGGAGGAAGCAGGAAGGGCAATCTTGATCCCTTCGCACCTTCACACCCCAGTGGTGGCCATAGGTCAGCTCTAGCTTCTCTCCTGCTGCAATACCCTTGTACAGCTAAGGGAAGGAAGGAATGGGCTCAGAATCCAGGAAGATTAAGCTGAATGCCACTCTTCATGTCTAGACTCACCTGTGGATGGGCTTTCATAGTAGATATGGGCTTCCCAGTACTGTTAGCTAAGTGAAAGAGTGATGAAACTGAATTTTCTGCCTCTGGGATTTTCTTGCCAATCAACAGGCGATACAGCAACTCCTGATACAACCTGATTTTAAAAAAAAACATTGGTAATAAAACCATTTACATAGACAAAATACATAAATGAACATGGACAAAGAAATAAAGAATGACCTAAGAGGAATGGATCCAGGTGGTATTCTGTGACAGGATTTGCGAAGCATGGAAACTACCTCAGCAGCACTGAACATGTTCAATAGAAGAGATACAGCTTCGGTCCAAAAAGAAGCAGTCCTCTTCCTTCCATCTTCCACCCCACAAGCATAGCACTTGTTTGGGTCCATTTCAAAGACTGACTGCAAAATATTGCTCTTTCTCTCTGCAGACAAGGGGGCAAGGAAAAGATGGAGAATTGGCCAGTTCAAGAAACTAAGCAGCATTCTTTTCCCATCTTCTGACTGAAGCAAAGAGCTCCCTTTGAGATGAATGTAGAACCACCAAGATTTCTTTCCCAGGACAACTTCAGACAAGTAATCTCTTGTGTCCACAGATGCCAAATCCAATAACTTGAGAAAGACTTGCTGATAAGAAGGCTCTGAGTTTTCTTGGCACGGAAGAGGAGCTCCACAACGACATGAAGGTTCATGAGATCCATGCTCCAAAATCAAGGAATGCAGTGAGAAAAAGGGAAGTTCAGGAAACTGCCAGCAGTCAATCACAAATTCAGAATCACTGATGAAAGCCATGAAGATAGTATTCCAAGTGTGAGGATCAAAACTGGATTTAAGGAGAAGAAAGAGGCAGTCAATCGGCTCAAGAATTTCTCGACATTCCTTCCAGAGACTGGGGAATTCCTGAATAGATGAATCTAAGAATCCAAGCAGATGAGACCTAGAGAGGCCAAAAGTCTTCAGGAGGTCCACAGCCCCTGAGATGTCATCAATTCTGGTTTCTGTGGACCATCGTCTGCTGCCACGCAAGGCCAGGATCCATAGCAAAAATCGTTGGCAAGGTTTTAGCTGAGCCTCCTGAGAGATGAAATCCAGGAGGATATCTGGTTCAAAGAAGATGTTCAATTGGTCTTGAATCAGAACAAAGGGATGTCCCTCTTCATAAGGGACAGTCATGCATTCAAAGGGAGGAACACAAGGACTAGAATGGCAAATGAAGCCTGGGTGAAGGCACATGAGAATCAACACTTGGGACAGAATCCGCCGATCATCACTTGATAACAGGCATGAGAAAGAGTGAATGGGAATCTCCATGTCCAGAGAAGGTACTGCAATAGTATTCACTTTTTTTATCGCATTAGTAGCAGATGCAAGCCATCCTCTCAAGACTGCCTCAAGGTCAAGGGAGTCTTTCTGCATGGACTCACTCAAGAGCAATAAAATCTTGCCCTTCTCAACTACTTCATTGAAGATACTCTTGGCATCTGGAGGTAGCTTTGTCCACATTGGACCAGTTAAAACTGGATCTTCTTCTCCATGTTTATCCTCAGCTTTAGCCTTCAGGAACTTCTTCAGTTTTGATCTGATCATTTCCTGTCCTGAATGGAGGCCTCCAGCCATCAAAGATTTCAGTTCATCAAGAGCATCCTCACCCAGAGGAAAGTAGTTGAGGGCATATTCAGATCCCACCATACTATATGCCAACATTGAAGTATCTGTTGGAACATGGAGGGTATCTTCACTTCCTTTTGGCTCAACATTGTCTTCATTACCCAAGCCAAGACTTTCCTCAAAAAATTCTCTCCAAGTTGTCACTTCTGAGTTAGGAAAAAAGAATTGGGCCAGTTCCTTTGGGCTCTTACTTGACACTTCCTTTGAAATTGAATCTGATTCTGATTTCTTCCACGACTTGACTTCAAGGGCATCTTCACTTGCATCTATGGATGGGTGGGAAAGGATATCCCAATGATGGATCTTGCCTGTATTAGTTAAGGCATAGATGCTCCCACTGACAGTGTTCACAGATATAAACTTCCCCTTGTCAACCTGGATGCATGATACAATGGTAACTGCAACAGGATCAATCAGGTAGATATGGGTATCATTAAAGGTGAGAAGGAGATCATCTGAGGCCTGGTAGAGAAGGGTGAAACCATGTGGAAAGTGGTTGCAATGTGACTCCACAAGTGATCGCAGCTGATGTGTTTGTCTGACAGTTCCATTTAGGTCACAGTCCCATAGTCGACTACCTGGTCGAGTGCAGAAGACACGTGCATTTTGAAGTCGCCCATTTCTCTGTAACTTCTGGTGACAAGGGTCCGGCCAGAAGAAGCATGCACCACATTCTGCCTCTCGCAATTTTGTCCCCATCTGTGGGAGGACAAAAAATCATGCCTCAGTGGCAATCTGTGAATGGATTGGTCAAACTTCCCCATACTTCAAGTGAAAACTATAAACTTTCAACCATTTCCAGTAAACACAAGAGAAAGGTGTTCCTTAACCCTTTCACTGCCATTCACATCACTTGGTGTGTTTGGAGCAATGGACCTCTGCTGTCATGCTCGAGGAGAGGTTGGCTGGGCACTTGAATCTTTGGCAGTCAAAGGGGTAATAAAAAAACCGCAATTCTTTACCATTTCATTTCTGTTCTGCAATGGATTACTCTCAAAGGCAATAGCAATTTGATAAACAGACAATATGGATTAATAGACTGGGTAATTCACTGTACAGGGGGGTCAAAAGTCCAGTCCACCTTTTGAACATTGATAACTTTTGAATACCAGACTGGATTGAGATCCAGTTTGGAACATTCAGAAGACAAGAATATCCTCAATCTAGTGACACATTATTGCATTATTTAGTTAATGATTTTTTCCTTCCTGAGCAGTAAATTAAATAAAGGTGGAGAAAAGAGCAAAAAAGATGGGAAAAGCTTTTTAGAACAAGCTGGGTAGAGCCCAATCTTGTATTAATCCTCTTTGTAAGTGTACAGAAACATGACATGAAAGAAAGTAAAAATAAAGAGGAAAATGGCAGATAAATGAGGGAAGAGGAAAATAAAGGGGTGCAGTGGTTGGCAGCTTTGAAGCAGTACTATTCCCACAACTAATGACATCAGCTTCACACTAATGTACAGACATCTGGGTAAGATCTGCACTTAAGGAACTTTATTTATCTTTTAAAGGAAGGCAGCTGGATAAAAAGAACTACCTCAAGCTAGTGGGAAATGACAACCATCAGATTTGGAGGAGGATTTTTACACTGCTCTTATAGGAATCCAATGACACAGAAAGTGGTTTCTAATGGATTGTAAGAAAATTCCTGTTATGTGATTGATTATGGATCTTTTTGTTGGTGGAAAGGTAATTTAAAAAAAAAGAAATCCCCCCAGCAAATAAATATGATTTTTTCTTGAAATGCCACTAGTAAAGACTTGAATATTATATTTCTACACCTGATAAAGTCATGGTACATCAATTATTCAACATACCTGCCATTGACTTTTCTGATACAAATTCAGCATGTAGGTCCTGGTAAGGGTGGAAGCAAGCAGCAAGGAACCACATGCCTCAACTTGGATCACTTTGGAATCCAATTGCCCCACCATTGCATACTTTTCTCTGAAGAAATTCAAAGTCTGGAACATGCAAAAAAGACCAGCATATCTAGTCAATCTTTCAAATTGAACACTGAGTGATGTAAATTCATTGAGAAATGAATTTTCCATACCTAAACAGGAGACTCTAATCATAAGTAATGTTTGGAGTCTATAAGCAAATTAGCTCTCAGCCTTGACATTTTAGCTTTTTATATTTTTCAGTGACATTTGTACTATTCTTTTATTAGCATCTACCATTTATACAAATCCACTTTAAAATACATCTACCAATACAGCTCAAATATTTTTTTCTTAATCTGATAAATTTCAATACACATTCACTGAATTTGGATTATTGGCATCTCAACACCAGAAATGGAGATTGAAAAGTCTTGACAATAAGGAGATTCTTGTGCTAAAAGGGCAGTCAGAAACCAACATACCTTTGAGGAAGAAACATACAGCACCCATACACAGCCTGTCTCATCTCCCAGGAAAAGTTCATCTTCTTTCCCTTTCCAACTGACAGAGACAATTTGCTTGCTTCTAATTTCATCACAGCAGAGCACTGTTTTTCCTGTTTTGATGTTTAAGATGGTGATCTGAGTTTTTGTCTCATCACTGATAGCTGCTAGCTTTGTCTCATCACAGGATAAGGCCACTCTGGTGACTGATTCATTCTATTGAAATGAAGAAAAGAGTATCATGAATATCTCATGTCCAAAGAGGAAAGATTGGAGAGGAAAGTTAATATGTCTCACATGAGAGGGTATGACTTTCCAGAATTGGAAAGGGTTTCTGTTGTATAAATAGACATTCCCAGTTCTTGTTCCAAGAGCAATAAACCTTGGTGATACATCAAAGGAAATAAGCTGAAAAATAAAAATGGAAATACATCAACTTAATATCAATTACAAAAGAAAAAGTACACCATTGCCAAGTGAGTCTAGCTTGGCTAGCCTAAATAAATAGAATTGAAACAAAGTATGTCAATGCCTAAGCCATGATTGGTAGATAAATATGGGAGACAACAAGGTGATTAGAATTGAGAGAACTGGGGAAGCAGGGAAGTCTGACAACTTCAAGTGAGGTGGTGATGGGAGTGGATCAGAAGAAAAAGGTATTCAGGCAAAGTGGATGCATATTTGGGTGATCGTGCAGTAGGCTAGGGTGACCTCACATCCTGGTTTCTCAGGCCATGTCCCAGCTTGAATTTTCCTTTCCATCCTGGTGTCCTGCTTTTTTTTCCCACTGCAGGAACTAACATTCTGGCATTTTATTGAAGATGTCCTGCTTTTCCTGAAATAAATCTGGCCACTCTAGAGTAGACTGCTTCACTGTTGCCATTTTGTACATGAAAATAGGGTTTTTCCCATTCTGCTTTAATATTTAAGGATACTGGAATTTCAATAGTGTGAAAACTGCTCAGTTTCTGAGTAGTTCCTTCTTTAGGATGGTGATGAGCTGTGATACCCAATTCCCTAGGGAAAGGTTTCTATCCAAAATCAAGCACTTTAAATAGTCCATCCTAATACCACCACTTAACTCACAGCTTGTCTATTACCCTTTCTGAATTAAATTGTCATGATTCCATTTTCTTATTTCAAAAGCAATGCATCTTGTCATTTTTCAAGAAACGCATAACTTTCTCAAAGAAGGCAAGGATGCCTGGACATAGTGTTTCTAGGCCTAAATGAACCAGTGACTACGCTTATTCACTGCAAACGCTTACCTTAACCTTCTGAGTAAAAGTTCCCAATGCCAGGTCATCAACCTTCTGAAGGGAATAAGACGTCCACGTCATCCTTTTGGCGGTGTCAGCAATTGCGTCATGACAGGCTAAAATCATATGTCGGTCAAATGGCTCATATTGATCTAACGTTCAACTCATTTTAAACAATATTGATGTATTTCCTTTGGTTACCATGAACCGCACTTGGCTTATTCCTCCCCGGCAGGAGATGATGTATCAAGTCGAATGGCGAATGAACGTCCAAACACCATTGGTATCTTCAAGAAACCGCACTGCTGCAGCCTGGAGCCATGTGACTGTGAGCGCCGCCATGACGCACTTCGGTTCGTCTGCCCTCTTTCGTTCCCCAACTGAACAGATGTCTCTTGCCGAGTCATCGTAGAGTGCTCTGGCGCCTAGATCGCAGCACAACCATTTACGAGAGAACGAGATTACTCTATCGAAGGTGAAGTGGCAGTACCTCGCAAGCAACTAAGTTTTTCAGAGAGCAAAGAAACAACTCTCGACAAACTTGAAGCGCTTAAGAGACCAGGAACCAAACCACTTTCTATAGTGTTCCTCTTACCACCAGACATAAATGTTCGTATCTTACAACTGAACAGTTGACTCGGACTTAACGCTGAGAACCCTTGACTCGCAGACTCTTGAAGAAAGATGCAGGCATTCTAGGTGAGTTTTTCTTGTTTAACCAATATAATAATCTATTATAACCCGTGACACAGCTCCTCCAGGTTCCAGAGGTTATTCTGTCTGGTACACCCCTGTACAAGACAGACTCGATTAGGCTGGGGGCCAGATGGAAGTCTTCAGGGGTGGTTAGGGGCCACAATAAAATTCTAACACCTAATCGTTAATGCAAAAGGCTGAAATTTGCAGTACTTTTCCGTAACCAACTGTTGAGGGGGACTTCGCAGGCCGGACAAAATGGACTGGCAGGCCGGATCCGGCCTCCAGTTTGGCACCCTTGGTCTTGTAGAAATGGAACCCGCAGAGCCACTGAGGCTTCGCACTTGATCACATTCCTATAGGAATAGTTTTGTATAGATGCATTGGACTGGGACGACCCCTCACCCCCTCCCCCCTCCCCCCCTCACCCGCAATGAAGACCGGTAGCACCTTGAAATCCTTCAACAACAAAAAAAGCCTCTTCCTACCGCAAAACAAATAAAGCCCGCCAGTTCCCTACACGGGATCTTTACTACTGTGAAACCTGGGGGAGAATAAAATAAGACTTCCATGTTCTGATGCGATTCTGAAAGTACCAGACCTCTTATTGAGGGCAAGGAAGGTGAATTCCTTGTTCCGGCGTCCATCTTGTAAAACTTGGAACTGGCCGTCAATCAATCAGCAATTTTTTTTATCCAGTCGGACGTTTGTCAGGGAGACAGGAGATTCTAACCACCTCTTATCTCCTTTTTGATATAATAAAAAAGTCAGTTACGAGCTATTGTCATCTCGATTTGACAAGTACAAGCAATAAAAGATGAGATGTGACCGATTCAACCATGCATGAAGGCGTGTGACGGAATTTCTGGATCGAAACCCACAAAATACTGAAAACCTTTATAGATTTTCGCTTGTTCATATTCCTTTTCGGAATTTCGCATATTCATTTTCCATTTCAAATTTTCGCATGTTCATATTAAAAAAGTCTCCTATCATCGAATGGATTTGCAAATGCCCTGCAGCCGTATTGCCATGTAATACGAGCCATAAAAACTCGGGTGGAATGCGCAGGTCCTATGCAAAGAGAATCCCGGGTGCTCGTGCCTCTCATTGAATACCGGATGAACTTCGGCACTTCGAGGGAGATGACACGAGTCGCCACGAAGCCGGGAATTCCCGAGCTCTTTTACAATTGGCCGGAGGAGAGACGCCAGTTCTCAGACCGAGATTCAAATGGAGGAATCTGCTCAACGGATCCCAACTCCCATCGGAGCGTCGGTGTTGATCTTTCACATCGCTCTAGCGCAGGGAACCGAGGCCTGTAACTGAGTATTTACCGATAATATCACTCCAATCTGCCGTGAAAGACGCCGTTTAGAGGGCGTTTTCAGGGCCCGCGAAAAGTTTCCAGGTCAGTGGAAAACGAGGGGAAAAAAAACGTAGTGACGGGAACCGCAGATTGCGATCGTTCCCTTCCTCGAAGCCGTCATTGTTCCGCGTGAAAGGTTGAGCCGAAATCAGCTCAACGCATGTTTGCACGGCGGATATCCTCCAGCACCTCAAAGGGCGATGATTTTCCTCCCAACAGATAATCACTCCTTTTTTTTTCTTGTTTCTCTTTTTCCCCTCGACTATCTGGTCCCTTTTCTCTTTCATGAGAGAGCAGGCCCAGTAGTCAGTTCGTATATAAGCCGCACGACCGACAGAGCGGAATCAGCCGCCGTCGTTGGATCTTCCCATACAGACATGCCGAAACATCCTCGCATTATTTTCGCATTATTTCAGGCTTTGTGAACTCATTAGAGTCCACGGGTGCAGAAAATACAGCTGGCCCGGGCCCGGGGGATTCCGCCTTTCATTCCGCCAGGCCCTGCTGGATCCCGGGTCTTCCTCCCCCCTTCCTTTAACTTTCCCAGATCGTCTTCCTCTCTCTTTCTTCGAAAACAACGCCGCGACACTCTTTTCATTATGTGGACAATGGGATGGGCCGTCTACACGGAGTGCACATCTGCCCCGGTCGGAAAAAGGAAGCCGCCATTTTGTACACACGGTTGCTCACTCTGTCGGCTTCCTCATAAATAATAAAAATTATATATATATTTCAGTTTCTTCCTACTTTTGGCTAAAAACTTCGGGTAGTTTGACTGTTCCTTCCGAATTGTCTATATACTCTTATATGTAAATGGTGCCGTCGTTGCAGTGGAGTTAAATCCCTAGTTTTTCTCGGCATCGCTATTCACTATTTGCTCTCATTTTCTCCTACCCAGGTGAGATATGTGATTATTCTTGCACTGTTTCCGGATTGAATTCGTACTACCCCCTGTAGTTGAGAAGGGATAAATCACAATTATCCAGAGATTCTGCTTCATCAGGTGACAGACGCAACCACCCTTGTGTTAGTTGTCACTGCTTACAATCGATGGAAGCTCTCAGATAAGGGGTTTTAATTCAATACAGAAACAGTGTAGTGCACATTACCATTAAATTTACACGAATTCTGAAATACTCTGACTTCAAATCTTGGTCATTCTCTTGAAAGGATTATTTACCGGGAGTACACAATGAGTACATCTTTAGCGTGCCATCCAGATATATTTTCTCACATTTTAACTACAACTTCTCTATCAAGAGGAGACATTGTAGTTTTAAGGATATATATATATACTTTTTTGTGTACAACGCACATACGAAAAATTGTATATCCTAGACACTTAATATTTCTATCCTTGGAAGAGATGTTGTTAGAATGTAACAAAGTGTCTCTGGGTGGTGCACTCAATGTCCACAACCAAAATTGACTCGTGCTACGTACTCCTGGTGTAAAATGTTTTCCATAGAATACATGTTCACTGTCCGTCCTTGGTGGCGACGTTCTCCAAGGACTGCATTTCCCTATCTCCAGAAGCTCATGAACAAGGGGGGCAAGAGGTGACTGACACTCGCAACCTGTGAGAGACAAGTCAATCAGGCCAATGAGGCATGGCCTCCTTCAAGGTGTCATTCACTCCTTGACTATTTTGACAAGTTCTCCTCCCTCCACGGAAGCAGGGTCTCCCGCTGCGTCCTTCGACTGACAGGGGTCCCAACGATACGAACGGTCCCTCCGGCGACGTTTCGCCGTTCTAGGCGTGGAAGCGGGATTCCAGAGGAATTGGCGCTAGGGGCCGATTCGTAATCCGAGGAAAAATCATGCGTTAGAAATTTAAATCATTTCAGCGTTCTTACTGTGGGTCCGTGGAAATCCATTCTACTAGGTTAATATTATTTCTCTATTGGTATTAATGGGATTCCATTCCATTACGAAACTGAATTAATAGAAGATGAATCGATACGGCGCATGTCGTCTAATGGGTCACTCGTTCCATTTCAGTCCTCTCGTCTTCCAGGTCGAGCTATTTAAAGCTGAGAAATTGCATTTATAGATAAGAAGGAATGGAAATGTCGCTCTTCATGGAACACCCACATCCACGTCGAGCTGCTTTAGCTATTAAAGTTGACCCTACGTGTCGTCAGGGTTAACGCAAATGCACACAGATTTCTGAAGCTACTTTGCCACTAGTTGCATTTCCGACACGTAGTTCTCCCTTGAACGGTGCTTCCGTTCACTTATTTTTTTTTGCAAAGTAAGAAGGCTTTTTCTGTGTAACTAATTCCACGTGTTTGTGAGTTTAACGAAAGCTGTGTTGTAAATATATATTTTTCTTAGTTCGCTGCACCATTGGCAGGCTAAGTTACGAAGTTGACTCGATCGGCCAGCTTATGGTAAGATTAATATGAGTACCATTGTACCATTGTCGTTTGGTCTCAACTTTCGGAGGATGTTCGAATGCATCTGAAATTTGAGAGGAAGGTCGATCGGCATGTGATATTTTACGCCATGCCCGCTAGATGCGGAACATGTGGATACGGAAGGACTGCGGTCGCGCATGCAAAGGTTTTCATTGAAGAAATGGTAAATATGATGAGAAATGCAACGTGTTCATTGTTCATTAGAGTGGCGAATGTTCAATTGATTACATCCTTTTCCACTAACACGTACAATCTGTTCACAACTTGTGTGAATATTGGATGGATTACTTTCACCAGGAAGGCAACCATCTTGTGAGATCCTTCAGGGAAATCGCGAATAATATTCGAAGGTTGCAGTTTCAGTTTTCGTTCTCGCAATGACACCGAATGATTGCAACACGTTTTTGCACTGTGAGCTTCGACAAGTCGCATCAAGTTTTGTGAATGCGAGACTAAGGCCTCGTCCACAGCAGAAAGTTTTATTGCATTTGCGATGAAAGAATGCTGCAAAAGAGAGAGTTTCTAAAGGAAATTTTCAAATAAACATTTCAGAGCTTTGGAATCCTTGCTCATAAAACTTTCGAAGACATCTACAAGACGAAACTTTTATTTGCAACTCGACTTGCAAAGAAAAATTGCGTAGAAAACTTTGTGGTGTGGACGAGGCCTTACTTCTCCGTTTATACTCATTCTCCAACATCCGCCTTTGCATATACGACCACAGTGTCTACTATCCTGATGAAACGCCGTCTAAAGGGCGTGGTCGAGAAACGTATAGGTCTATCAACCTGTCAAATAACAGGTCCTTCCAAAGTTGAGGGCAAAAACATATCAGGTTGTATCTTTACAGCTCTAAAGAACATTTTTCTCTATTGTAGAC